AATAAAAATTGCGTTTTATTATAATCGTAATGTGAACTTTGAAACGCCGGTATTTCCACAATAAAATACGAACGTCATAAGCGTTTGACTTTGTATTGTTTTTTAAGAACTTATTGCATTGCAGATAAGAATTTACGTAATGGTAGCCTTTTGAGCAACCGTGTCAGTGACGCTGTGGCAAAGCGTGTATGGTAAATGTGTGTCATGATTACCCTGACGCAGGGTCATGACACGAGGCTAGTTTTTCAAATTAGAATAGTAAAATTGTACACAAAGTCACACAGCATGCTGTCACGTTGTTTAAATGCAAATTTTATAGTCATGTAAATGACGTTAGGTAAAATTTTGAACTAAGAATTTATAATTTTATCTGCGGCCTACTGTTGTGGTAAGCTACTGATTTGCAGCCTTTCGAATTGTTTGAACGTTGAATGCTGTTCTGCACAGTGAACGCTGACGCTTCGACACGGCGTCACTGCCGCATTGCTAGAGTTCGTCATAATTGCTGTAAATAGGTAATAGCGACGTTACGACACCGAAAAAGCGGCCTCGCAAATTTATTGTACGTATCCACGGCCACATGTTAAATATTAAACTGCCAGTTTCGATATTGCCAAGATTCTGCTACGTAGAGGTCCCGGGTTCGATTCCCGGGCCGGGAGAAATAAATAGTAAGGTCTACATTTTTTTTCTTATTTTTATTACTTTTCGTGAGTTTGGGTTTAATTTGTAGTTGTTTATGTGTCCATGGCACTCGCAATACAGGGTTTCCCTAGTGCGGGGTTATGAGTGTGTGCGTATTATTCAATTTCCAACAGGTTTTTATACGTTTAGTTTTTATTTCTTCTATTATGGAAGGAACCTGATTTCTATGTATGGTTTTTATTAACAAAAGAAAATGTTTGAAAAGTGATTGATAGACGATTTCGAAACTGAACAAAATTATTCTTTTTTTAATAAAAACCTTATATAGAAATCAGGTTTTTTCCATAATGAAAAGACAAGACATTGATTTAAACTTCACGATTTTCGCACTTTAGGTTTGTTTTTCCATTATTTAAATTTAATATCCCGATATTAAATTACAAAAAAAAAAAAATAACGCTATAAAAACTTAAGAGGAAATGAGAGTTGAGGGTTCTTATTCAAATCGTTAAGATACTATTTTTGAGAACCAACAAAATCTTTCATTATTTCGTTGATTTACATAGCGATTAAATTCAGAACACCGGGCGAAATATATTAGATTTGAGACGGTTCGTTTGTTACTTATCGTGTGGCTGTAAGTACGTAAAAGACAAAAACAAACATTAATTAAATGTACGAGGACAATTTCCTTTTTAGGTGCAACGTTACATGTGACCTATATACATAATTTACTTCAGAGTGTCCTAGATTTCTAATGCTCCTAGATACCTAGATCCCGATAGAACACTGTTTTACTATGCTAGCGAGCACGGCTTTGATCAGTCATGCCTGATTTGTCACTAACCTCAGTTTCTATACACGGTGGAGATTTAAACCTTTTAATGGTACACGAAAAAGCAATTTAATTCATATAAAATAATGGTATAAATTCAAAATGTAGAGAAACGCTCATTTATTCTTATGCGACAAAGTAAGAAACGTTATTTTATCATAAATATCTCGTCGGAACTACCAATAAGCAATTATTGTAAGACAACGTAATTTTGAATTAGCAAAGTGCTCATAAGTCAATCTGTAACTGGACCTAGACGATCAGTGGATAGTACTAGCTTATAAACTCTCAGTAAGATATAGTAATTAGAAAAGAGGGAGCATATAGATTTCTACTGTATTAGCTGAAATCCCATTAGTGGTGTTTTCAATACACGAAACCAAATTTAACTATAGAGAAATAACAACAAAATAACCTATTTTTTTGTGTTTCATACATTTGAGTCAGGTAGTTAATAAACATTTACTGTATTTCAGAGAATTCCCCGCAATTAAAGTTGGTATAAAACTATATACAAAGGGATTTAAATTGAGATAGGACGTTTAAATTTTCACCGTGTGTAAATGACTATTGAATAAATTAACTGTTGTTTACATAGTGAGCGCAGCACACAAGTGAAATGGAAAACATTTTATAATAAAAGCAAACCTGTTCTGCGATACAGGATGTTAATATTATTAGTTATACTTCGGATGTATATTGAGAGAAATTTTGAATGAATTCTTCCCATGGTATAAAAATGGGAGGAAAATTTTTAAAACTCCTGCTAATTAAGTTAAAAGCAAAAATTTGTCTCACCTTTCGAATTACATAATTTAGTTTGAATATTCTGTCCGCTGCATGACGTGCAGGTTACTTAAAGATGGCTTGGTTGGACCAACAGACCAGTTCAAATCAAGTGGTCTAGACGCGTAGTCTAGACAAACATTTAGAATTATAGTTTGAGTCAATGTACCCTTATAACCACCAGTAACAATATAGAACAGTAAAATGTGTTTACATTTCAGTATTTCCCTCAATGGTTATTAGCCAAATATGCTTTTGTTAACTTAAATATAATATATATATAAGAAATACACTTGCAGTACAAAATAAGATTATTATCAACATTAATATATATTGCATTGCGTACGGAACTATGGAGTACTGGCTGTAGCCTGCCGATGGCCAAATGGAGGTTGGCGTACTTGTTACATAATAAAATGTTAATAATTTCCTTTCCACGTTTCCGTTTCACTCTGTATTACGCTCGTAAACAAACATCTGTCATATGAATATGTCATTTACATTAAACAAAAGAATACAATACAGCTGAGATAACGTTGAATGTGTTTCTACTAAACAAAGTGTTTGTATATGTATGTTATCTATATAATGTAGTATTTATGTCGTATTTTAAGATAATAGTTACGCACAAAATTAGCTCATAATAAGCAACTATATTCATCAGATAACGCTTAGGACTGAAGGATTTTTATTATAAATTCAAATTCCTCATGATAACTATTGTTCAATATTATAAAAAACAACATTTGGGTGTTCAGGATGTCGCAGGATATTTTGTGACCCTGTTGTTTGATAAGCGAACACACATAGTCCCCGACAGTTTCATTATATTGTTAACTTATCTATTCGTCCCCAGTAAGTGGAATTTTTAGAGAGCGCATTGTATGTAGATTCACACACTCGCAAGCTTTCAACATTCAATTAAAAATTAAAACTTATCACCTATGTATTAAAGACTTAGTTTGTATGTTACAAGCGCCTCATAAGTGAGCTCGATCTATGTATTAGACCTTGTTTCACATAATGGGGTGCAGAAGTCTTATTTGTAAGTTGACACTTGATTTGTGACATAGATTACATAGCTTGATTAACTAGGTCATTGTTGGAGACAAAGTTAGGCGTATTGTGTTCATTACCAATGGACTGTGTCAATTCTTATGCTACTAGAATATGGACATACGCCCGCCACGTCACACTGCCATATTATTTTACCTATCGTTTATAGTATTATAATTACATTGTAATAATTAAGTGAGACACATTTTATGGAAGTTTTTTACACTTGTCAAGTCAATAAATAAATAGTTGTAGATGGTAATTGTCGTTTGATTTAATTAAATTCCATTAACATTCCGACCCAATTGACGCTCGTTGGAAGTGCGAGGGTGAGGCAGCGGCGCGCTGGATGTGACTCATCGAGATAATGCGCGCACTGTGCGCTTGCGCAGCGTTGCTACGCCCCGCAGCTCGGCGCTGCTATTCTACGATGACGTGCCGACATCTCACAGGGAAAACGAATACAACCCGAAACGTTAATATTTAAAATTGGTTTTATTGATAAATTTGCAAAAAAAAGAAATTAATAGTTATTGTACATGTCGATTATTGATTGAAAAAGATAAAAATATACAAGTTCTTAATTTGCACATTATAATATATAAAAATATAATTCAACTCAGATCGATTACCAATATCCTTGTGCAGTTAACCTTACATGTTAACAGAAGAGAATTGAAACATTTAATCTTGTAACAATATTTGAACACCTATAATTATTATGTTTAACAGAGTTGTAGCAGCAAAACATAGGGATGGTAATTTACATGAAAATGAGCCAGTAATTATAAAACTTCTTTCCATTTATAATAACGATAAAATTTTTTAGTTAATTTCATAGGAAAGGGGTTAATAGTCTGTTATATTGGGTGCGAGGCCAGCCCTCTAGCTGGCTGTGCCCCGTACCTCTACAGACCTGAGACACTACAGTCAGCAGGGTGCACTCACCTAAGGCTCACTAATATTTGTTCAAAGTTACCGAGTCCTAAACAGTGTCACATATCAACTTTCCTTTGATACATTTGAATTATATAACAAGACAATAATATATTTGAAAAAATTTAATGTATCCTTAATTATTAACCATTACACACTGGTTCAGGCCGACTGGCACATATCCAGGTCTCTTCGGAGCCTGCTCGAGACAACATCTTCCTAACCGTTCAGAAGTATGGGGCTCTCAGTTACATCAGTACCATTGCAACAATATATTATCACTAAATAATCATCTTATGCTAGGTACAGACAGCAGTAATGCACTTGCTAATATTGCTTGCCGTATCACTAACTACATTGAGGTTATTACATCTACCTGTCTCGTATTTATAAGGCTATAATACACATTCAATAATTAATAGCATTAACAACCATGAACATGCTCCCTAGAGGTTATTGTGACAAAAACCTCATTTGCTCTAATTTTCCTGTTCATAGTAATTGACAAATGACTGTCTGCACATAGCATTCTAACATTATTCATTGAAATATGATAAAAATACACAAATCATTATGTATACAGCTGATTATTAACCACGAGATAATAAAAAATGCTATCGGAATAAGGAGTCCACGAAGTGTATATTATAAGAATTACTTAGTAAATTAATTAATATTGCATGTTATTTTCCTTACAATGAATATTAATAGTAGTATGTGGAACCATTTCGCTTAGAATAAACTCCCCATGGTCTCCAAACAATGGACCCACATTGAACAATATTAACAGAATCAAATTGATAACTGTTTACAATTAACTTCTGAACATACAGCATCCACACTTTACAATTGGAATTCCTCGAATGAAACACACACAGAATTGTTGAATTATCTATTTGGGATGTTTATCAACAAGAGTGGAGCCAAGCCAATTGAGAACTACATGTAGGAACTGTGATATCTTCTACAACGCTGTGCATATCCCACCCACATAACACTGGATCACGATACAGCTCAACAAATGCACATTCTCGAAATGCTACAGGTAGTGGCCGTACTACGACCCACCTACATAATTTTAGGGAACTGTCAAGAGCCAAATCCGGGTACGAGAAGTCTTTGAAATCATTAAATATTTTATATCTAGACACGTTGGAGGCTCCCGCAACACTTACAGAAGAACACATATTCTCTTTTTATTTGGGGGCTTGTTAATATTGGGTGTTTTCTTATTGATCTGTCGCACTAGATCGTAGAACACGTCGTTGACGTTGATTTTGGCCTTCGCGGAGGTCTCCATGAAGGCGCAGTTGAAGTGGCGCGCCAGGTTGGCGCCTTGCTCCTTGCCCACCACGCGTTCCGCCTCCAAGTCACACTTGTTGCCCACGAGTACCATGGGCACGTCGTCTTTGTCCTTCACCCGCAGGATCTGCTCTCGCAGGTCCTGTAGGTCATTGAACGTCGACTGTGCCGTGATAGAGTACACTAACACGAACCCTTGCCCGTTTTTCATATACAAATCCCTCATCGCCGTGAACTGCTCTGTGCCCGCCGTGTCTAGGATCTCGAGCATACACTGAAGCCCGTCTACCTCCACCTGTTTCCGATAGCTGTCTTCGATGGTGGGGTCATATTTCTCCACAAAGATGCCTTGTACGAATTGCACTGTCAGGGCGGACTTTCCCACGCCCCCGCTACCTAACACCACTATTTTGTATTCGCGCATTTTTGATTGTTTTGTGTCACGTGATACTAATTGTTAAAATCAAAGATCAAATCGCTAAAAAGCACATTAACTGTTGAGTTATTGCAAAAAAACTTATAACAAGTCAAACCGCCATGACACCGTTAGCAGGGCGATGGCTCACTATGTTAGTGTGGCCAGTAAATTCTGTATTCAATCTACTAAAATGGATGATTAATAATGACATTTAATGACATCAGAAATCGATTTCATTTTAATTTTCGTCACCAACCTACAAATAAAAAAAAAAAACAGAACAAATTTATTGGCAGTGCAGGGAGCAACCAAAACAAACGACTACTGCACAAACAATAACTAGTGAGCATTCAACGGATGCAAAGAGTGATTATTTCATTGCGCGTTATTAGATTAAACACACAGCACAATCGATTGATTAGTGCAGAGGGAAAATATTTATACGAAATAAGTATGCAAGCATATTAGATATTGTTAATAATTTATTTACTTTTACATCTGAGTACTAGCCAAATAATTAATAAATTAATAATGTATGTAATAAAAGGTATGAATCATATGTAATTTTATGACTAGCTCAAGACATTTGCAGATTTTTTTATTTTCAGTGACAGTCATAAAATAATGTAACTATATGGCGTAAAATTACTAATTCATAAATAATATGAGGCATCAATAGCAATGTTGAAAATAGCTAATAACATCAACTTTTGACAACAAGGAAACAAGGTTGCTTGAGATACAAGTTGAAGCAAAATATTGAATGTTAATCAATAATGATTTTTAAATATTTTATATAATATATTTTAGATAAGAATATTATATTAAATGTAATCGATAACAATATCGATTTTTTAATGTTATAGTAGCAAATATAAGAAAACAGGAAATAAAAATGGCAACACAAAAGTGTTGTGGTACTTCGTGTAAACTTCGCTAGAGGGCGTTATATTTAATTTCAGATTTCGTTTAAAAATATTGAATCGTCCAGGAACAATACAGTTCTGTAAATCCAGATTTCGAAATAGTATAATATCATCTTTGAAGAGATGATGTAAGCTTACCTAAACACTTACAAACCTGGACCTTTATTATATATTGATATTATAAAAAAGTATTTATTCCACTGAACATGCGATGACGACTGTGTCGTATTGACGTCAAAATCAATTATTGTACACATACCTACCGTTTCAGTCAAGGGCGAGTGTATAATATAGGTACCTTCTCTCTCAAGCAGAGGTCTTGGGCTTGAATCCAGATTCGCATTTCTGAGTTTTTCGAAATTTAATTTAAAAAGCACCATACTACATACTGCCATACTAAAATACCCAGTACCAAAACGTGGAAAGTTCCCAACCCGCATTGGGCTAGCGTCCATAGAAAATCCATGCCCAGCAGCGGGACGTATCTATAAAAGGGTTTATGATGATGATGCTTAAATACTCGTATGTCTCTCTTCTTTGATCGTATTTTAGTAATTAGTGATATTAAATAAACCAAAGGTGAATTCAAAGACAACAATTTTCTTTATTCTTAAATATTCAGTTATTTTTTGTGAAATAACTCCACTAGTTTGTTATAATTATTATTATTAATATGCAGATCGAACACTCACAAAAATCCCTTCGATCCGGCCGGATTCGAACCGACGTCTTCTAGCATACCGCGCCAGACGTTATACCAGCTAGCTTAGTAAAATTTATTTAATGCAATAGAACCAGAACGCAGTCAAAGTACTATTAATAACAGTGACTTTCGTATGCTACCTTCACTATTTATGTGATCTGTGGCTACCCTCCTCGAACCAGTGGAGGACGCAATTGGATAGTTTTGTGCCATATATCCCTTGTCACAGATACCTCATCATAGCTCTTAACCCCTAGATCCATATTTAAGTACCTTGCAAACGGAATGCGTTCTGTGGTAAGTAAAGGGTGTATCTGATGGTTCCAACGGTTCGGAAATAGTCTCTCTTGCTAGTCTGTTTGCTGTAACCCATGTTAGTTGTATAGAATGTTCTTTTCGAGTTGTAAGCTAAGTCCGAGTGTTTTCTTCAAATCAGAGTTCTTTATGGGTAATAGAGTCATAAATTAGTATGACATTTTCTGGGCTAGCTAAGACGTGCTGTAATGAAGGTGAGATAATCTAATAATTTCCCGAAAGTTGATTTTTCATTAAGTATGTATGTATGTAAGTGACATTGGTTTCAACGTGCAACGGTGTCAACGGAGGACAGACTGGCGAAGTGCATCTTTTACTCTGAACTTGAGGAGGGTAGGCGGAAGCGTGGCGGTCAATTCTGATGGTATAAAAATGTTCGGAAGCGAGAAGATCTGTAGTTGAAGAAATATTATTTGCACCGATGAATCTCTTGAGACGGCTTATACTTTCTATTGCAATAGGGTCATAAAATCATTAACACTTGTTAAAACGTCCATGGATTTAATGATCTTGGTCCCTAGTATGAGTCATGGGTGCGTTAAATGACTTTTCTGAATTCTAGGTTTAAATTATTATAATAATAACGCACACACTCAACATAGCCACGCACTAGGGAAACCCTGTGTCGCGGGTGCCATAGACACACACAGACAATCACAAATTACACCCAAACTCACGAGAGAAATAAATGTAGGCCATACAAATATTTCTTCCGGCCCGGGAATCGAATCTAGGACCTCTCAGTCCGGTATGGTAACCGTTCGGCCACGGAGGCAGTTGTATTGATTTACTCATGAAGTCTTTTTTAACTACTAGGTATGTATTTCGTTAAATATCGTCTGCCGATTTTTTTCTGACTAATTCAACAAAGTTAGCTCCGCATATATATTACCAAGGTTAGAATGAAGTGCCAATGTGAAAATGTGTTTAAACTAGCTGTTTGCACTATACAGATGGCATGTACGTTACCGAGACGGCTCACTCTTTTGTCCTATTGTATTTTAAAGATGAAGCGATAAGACGAATCCATGCAAATAATATTTCGCCCACAGCGCAGTGTTGCCACATTGAGCTGTGGCAACACTGTGTTGCGCGGCAAGTCCACGAGTTTCATAAGGCGCATGTACACGCTAAGTAATTTGACGTGTCTGCTACAGAAAAGATGAGAATGGTCTTGTACACGACAAGAACTTTGTTAGATCTAGTCACGAAAATATGTCATATCTGGGGGTCGACTCTCGATTTCCGTCCGAAACATTTACTGCCAAATAAGCAATACTTGACCAAATGAAAAGACGCGTGATGCGAATGAAGCTTCATACTGGATACTTGTCTTTTAATTTTGTCGAATATTACTTATTTGACAGTAATTGTTTCAGACGGATGTCGGACGGAGATCGAGAGAAGACCCCCTGTTGCAGAATACGTGTGCACATGTGTATACATGTCCACGATACGAATGCTTTCGGGCAGACGTGTGTAGGTCAAACGTGGCAGTAATTATTTTTCATCCGATATAGGTAGGTGCATTACTATGACAAGATCATGAACTACCTAAGTATCTACCTTATAATATTTTAAAGAAATGTATACTTAAAATTAATGTTTGTATTTACCATATTCATTTTTTTCTGTATTGTCATTTCTTGAAAATCTTCCTTAACAATAATATTTTTTTTTCTCCATGCCTTAAAAGTACGTCGTTTATCTTTATAAATCTTTAAGGTTTTGTCCCACAATACGGGTCGTTCCTCTGCTAAACTTATAAGTAAATCATGCATTTTATTAATCGCAATAAAATTAGTGGTGCAACAGTGGTAATTTGCAACACGTTCATTTTCTGACAATGCGCCCAGAAGACAAGATTTTTTTTCTTGTCCGGCACCGAGGCAGTGTACACAGTTCGCGTGTAGAAATGACACGAATTCTTGCATAGACCCGGCGACTTTTCTTAGCTTGGACACGCGCCCTAAAGCAGACCTCGATGGAATAAAATATGTAACTCCTCAAGACTACGTCACCACTTAGCAATCTTGTGAATGCAAATTATTCCAAACTTGTTTTCAAACAAATATGAATCAGTCCGTTATTGACTAATAGCTCAGTAAGATGTATGGAGACTGCAACAATTGAAACTGCTGTCTTAAAAAAAAAGAAGGAAATTGATAACCTTCTCTATTCGACTGTGTTTTTTTTCGTATGTATGTTTTAAATTTGTGAACAGATTTTTTTTTGTTTTCAGTAGTGTTTCCGTTTCATTTTTAGGGGATGAATTTTTGAGGTCGGTTTCTTTTTACCGATGTCAAATCGTGTTTCCTCAATTCCACCAAATTTTGAGTTATACAGTATTTGGTTTAAAGTGTGACTTAGTAGATAACTAAGTTATTAATTTTCCGTGTTAAAAAAGCTCCATGAACTCTAGCTTATAGATAAAGCGTAGGCTCTGCTTCTTAATTACTCTACATTTATTAATTTTAATAGTGCTCTAGCGTGAGGCACGGAATAAATGGGGCTTTTAAATTACATTTCTCGCGAAGTCATTGTGGACGCACCTTTAAAATATGGGCGTTATTTTATACGAGTGTAAATAAAACGTAACTACGGTACAGTCGACGCTCTAGATATCTGATCCCCTAATTACCCATTTGGTTTTGAGTCGATCAGTGCCAAGAAAGGTGTTATTAAACAAACTTAATATAGTGAAAACACCCGTGAGTCGTAAACTTATTTTTGGTACGATTTCCTTATTGCTGCCGCCGTTAGTTGAAAGGGCGCTTGTGACAAAAACACAAAACCGAGAAAGTAATGTTAAGAGAAAAAATGAAAATAGTGACAAATCAGTCTTTTTTAACCGATTTTAAAAAAAGGACGGGTTCTCAATTCGTATGTGTTTTTTTTATTTTTTGTGTGTATGTTACGGAATAACTCCGGTTAAATTTGTGAATCGATTTTGATGATTCTTTTTTTGTTGGCAAGGGGGTACCTCAGTAGTACTTCCATTTAATTTTGAAGAAAATATTCCAGCTCTAAGGGTGTTCTCGCATGAAGGCTTTTTATTATTTTTATTATCTTCTGTGTTAAGTCGTGACCTTACCTATTTCTGCCGCCAAGCAGTAATCTCAGCATTACCGTGTTCCGGTTTTGAAGGGTAAGGGTGCTGGTGGAATTACAGGCACATGGGACTTGTCAACTTATGTGTCAGGGTGACGGGCG